GAAAAACCCAATAAGCCAACATTAGAAATACAGACACTGAATGCAGGAAACAGCTTTGTGTAACAGCTCAGAGGAGAGTTCTCACTCACACAAGAGCAGGAAGGAACACTTGCTCAAGTTCCTGACAGGCATTCATAGGATCTCAATCTGGGCAACAATGTGCTCTTCTTCCAATTATACAATTTTCAACATGTTTCTCTATTATTGTCAATCAAGGTTGCTAAGCATAGTCTACAAGTATTTTCCAGTTGTAGAGGACAAAACTACAGATATGTACTGAATCATTTTAAAGTTTACTAAAGAAAAACCTCATCTTGATCATTCAACTTTTATTTTAGACTATTTCACTATCTTTTTTTTTTTCATATTATTGTATCAAGTAGCGTATCTATGTTACTTGTTATATACACTCATATACTGTATACTTTTTTAATATAAAATGAATAAAAAAATATAAAATCATATATATCATAAAACTTGATGGAACATTTGAGTATTGTGGAGTTGGTTTTAGTGCCACTTATGCCAGGGAGGTAACACTTTAATATAGTATAGTACTAGCAGGAGTTATCATACTGTACATGGACCTCATCATCAGAGAAGTGTGAGAAAACACAGTTTATAATTTCATCTGATAAATGAAGTCCTGGAGCAAGGGATTCCTTCCCTGGCTCTTGCCACAGGTTTAAGCTCAAGTCCTGCTGGCTGTCAGCTTGGCAGCTTTCTCATAATTAACTTGTAATATCATATGCATTTAGCTCACGGTCATTCCAGAAAATGTCATTTCTATGGAACGTGCAAAATATGGATTGCTCCTAGGTATCTCCTCCTCAGAAACAAATACTTGAATATAGTCTTCTGCATAGAGCTCACAGTTCTAAGCAGCTGCATAACAATCCTAGTCTAGCCTCACTGTGAGCCTCCTCCAGCTCTCTCATCCCACCCTACAAATTTCCCACAGTCTACCTTGCGCTGGATTTTATCTGACTGGAAATGGATCCTGCAAAAATACAGAAATCCAAATAATCATACATTTCCTTTAGGTTGTTGAATTTATTTATTTATGTATTTATTTTTATTTTTCTACTGACGCCTGCAATTACATTTGAATAACAATGTCATAAAATTGCATTCTGCTCACTCCCATTGCTGTAATTACCAAACAAAAATATGTGCAGTGTCTTCATATTGATATTGATGGTCCTAAGCAACCCACAATTCCACATCACAGAACCTTCAAGCATAGTAAACAGCCTCCTTACATTTTCATCTCCTCTCTGCTTTCCAAACAATTGACTGAGAAACAAAAGCATAGAAAAATTTAAAATTACATAGTAAGACAGTGGCAGAAATGGCTTCAGTGCCTTATCTGTGAGATGTCAGTACAGCATCTGTGAAGTTAGAGCACGCACTGTTTCTGCAGGTGGGACATCACTAACACCTCACCCACACAGCCACAGAGACTAGAGAGTTGCAAACAGGGATGGAGACCTCAAATACAAGTTAATGGTGAAATTGGCTGGCACCATGCTTACCACGAGTGGCACAGCTAAAGATAATCAGCTTTGTAACTGCACAAGTCTGAAATAAAATGATATGCACAACTGAGGAACTTACACATAAAATCAGACAGTGCCTAATCACCTCATTTGCATTCTATGACACTGTGATCACAACTACTTTCAAAAATTGCATATTTTCCAAGCATATATTTAGAGATGAAATCCTAAACACATCCCAGCTCAAATGGGGAAAACTCAGGCTGAAAAAGCAGCTGAAACTGTGGCATAGTAAGGGCTCATTTCTTCGTCAGGAAAAACATTACTGTGGTAACAGTTGCCTAAATCCAGAATTCCCGTTTTCAAAAGCGAGTCTCATTTTACCGTCTCCACCAAAATGAAACGGATCCGTTCCAGCAGAAAACCACAGGGTGGCAGTGCTGCTGCGCGCTGGCGTTAGCGCAGCCCCCCCTAACGGGAAGACAAAGCCTGGGTTAACGATCTGTGCAGCCGCTGCAATACTTTCTGTTAGAATCTAAAGTAATTACTTCCGTCAGGTGAACTTAGCAATGAATTTCAATTTTTGAATTTAACGTAGCAGAGGAAAACATTCCAACTGTGAAGATTTTCATACTGTTCCCTCTATCCTAATGAAAGCCATTCCACAATCACTTCACACATTGCTTCAGATCCTCAGAAAAGTGTCAATCCAGCGTCAATGCAATTGTCAATACTGTGCACTATACACCCATAAATACATGTACAAACACATACATTTCTCACACACAGACTGATGTGTCTTTATGAACTCAACCAGACCATTTTCTTTCAGTAAGGTGCTGTGCCCTCAATTGGTTCCACAGCACCCAAGTATTCACAAGTTCCCAAACATCACACAGTAGATAACGATAGAACAAGGGGGTGAATGGTTTCTAACTAAAAGAGAAAAGATTTAGATTAGATGATGGGAAAATATTTCACTGAATGGGTGGTGAGGCGTTGGCACTACTGCCCAAATAAGCTCTGTGCCCCATCCCTGGAGATGCTCAACGTCAGGTTGGATGGGGCCTTGAGCAGCTGAGCTGCTGGGGGCAGCCCTGCCCATGGCAGAGGGTTGGAACTGGGTGGTCTTTGAGATCCCTTTCAATCCAAGCCACTCTATGAGTCTAAGAATCACAGAATCACAGAATGGCCAGGGTTGGAAAGGACCTCAACGATCATGAATCTCCAACCCCCCTCTGCCACATGCAGGGCCACCAACTTGCACGTTTAATGCTAAACTAGGCTGCTCAGGGCCCCATCCAACTTGGCCTTGAACACCTCCAAGGACGGGGCATCCACAACCTCTCTGGGCAGCCTGTTCCAGTACCTCACCACTCTCTGGGTAAAGAATTTCCCCCTGATGTCCAACCTAAATCTCCCCTCCTTCAACTTAAAACCATTTCCCCATGTCCTACACATATCAACCCTTTCAAAGAGTTGATTCCCCTCCCCTCTGTAGGCTCCCTTTAGGTATTGAAAGGCTGCAATGAGGTCGCCCCGCAGCCTTCTTTTCTCCAGGCTGAACAAGCCCAGCTCCCTCAGCCTGTCCTCATAAGGGGGGTACTCCAGTCCACTGATCATCCTAGTGGCCCTCCTCTGGACCCTCTCCAACAGTTCCCTGTCTTTTTTGTACTGCGGGCTCCACACTTGGACACAGTATTCCAGATGGGGCCTCACAAGAGCAGAGTAGAGGGGGACAACCACCTCCCTGTCCCTGCTGGCCACCCCTCTTTTGATGGACCCCAGGATACCATTTGCCTTCTGAGTCGCAAGAGCACACTGTTGGCTCATATTAAGTTTTTCATCTATCAGGACCCCCGGGTCCTTCTCCACAGGGCTGCTTTCAAGGACCGCTCCTTCCAGCCTGTACGGATGCCTGGGATTCCTCTGGCCCAAGTGCTAAACTTTGCACTTTGCCGTGTTGAACCTCATCAGGTTCACCCAGGCGGAGGGGAATGGAGCAGGCAGCAGCGCTGCGGAAAGCCCAGGAACGTGTGCTGGGGCTGCAGTGCTGCTGGCACGCGTGCAGCAGGTGAGACCGCCGCACGGTGATGAGCAAGCAATGGATAGCGACATTGCTGTGGGACGGGTGGTGATGTCACCCAGTGAAGGTGAGGACTGGCAACACGGCCGAGCCATGGTTTGTGGCACCTCTGTGCGACGCATTCTGACTGCTTTGCACACGCAGCTTTAACCCAGGCGCGGCAGCCCGGGCCGGCAGTTCGTGCCTGGCCTCCGACTGAGCGTGTGTGCGAGGACTGGAGTGTGGACAGGGCGAGCTTTGGAACTGAAACATGCTCTGGGTGCTGCTAGCACAGCTCTCAGACGTCGTCTCAGAGCCACTTTGCTGTACCCCGACTCTGCTGGCAGCAGGCAGCCGGGATATCGCAGAGAGGTGCGTGCAGCAGCGCAGGTAGGCAGCGTGGTAATGCCTCACGCCAGCAGCTGGAGGGGAATACTTGAGAGACCCTTCCCAGGCTGGCCCATGCCTGTGGCGTCTCCTGTCCTCTTCCAGCGTGACACCTGCTGTCACAGCATCTCCTGCTGGTGGAAGCATGGAGGTGGCATGAGATACCTACAGCCCCATAGACCTGGAGAAGTGGGACAGCGTGGTATGCACCATGGCACACTGCCACCATTTTCTTTCTTCGGGCCCAACGTTCCGCTCAAGCACCACGGCCTGACACTACAGCTTTGTACTATGGAGGATCCAATCAGCACGCTGAAAAACGCCTGTCGCAACTGCCTATCGCAATAGTATGCGCCAAGGGCGACCCCCCGCGAGCAAGAGCCCCCTCTCTCCCCCCCGCACCTACCCACACACACACACACACACACCCCGCACGACACCGGAAGTGCGCCGCAGGCGCAGCCCCCGTCCTCCCCTCCCGCCGCAGCGACTTCCGGTGGCCGCTCTAGCCGGCGTCGCGTCTATGCCCGCGGCGCTGGGGGATGTTTATTGTCGCGGAGCCTCGGCCCGTCATCCGGAACGCCGCCGGGCGCGAGCGGCGGGGCGCCTAGCAACCCTGCCAGCCGCTTCCCGCCCGCACTGTAACGGCTGCCGCGTGCCGCCGGGCCGCGCTCTTCCCCGCCGCCCGCGGGCCGCCGCTTAGCGGGCCCGGCTCCACCGCTAGCCTCTGCCCGAGGGACCCGGCTCCGTCGGGCGGCCGCTGGGAGCCCGCGCCCCTTCCTGCTGCAGGGGTAGGCAGCGCGGCCTTCGGCTTCCCCTCCTCGCGTCGGCGCGTTCCCTCCGCTGCCCCTTTCCCTGGCGGGAGTCGGGAGGTGGAGAAAGCCGGAGGGAGGGACGCGGCTCGGCCGGGGGAGCGACCCCTAAAGAGGCGAAGTGCCGAGGGGCGCCCGGGGCGTGCGGTGCGGGGTGGACGAGCGGGTGGGCGCGAGGCCTTGTGTCCGCGCTTTGTCTGTGCTGTGCTTGGCTGGGAACTCCGGGACGCGGCTCACAGGGGGCGATTGCTGCCTGAGTGCTGCGGCACAGGACGGGCACGTGCCGGGCTCGGCAGCACGGCTAGCAGAGTTCTCTCAGCTGAGGCGGGTAGGAAGGGAACACGCGACGTGCCCTTTATTCTAAGTCGTTCAGGTTTTGTGTTTTTCTCACTAGTTTGTCAGTGTGGAACGGCCACCGAGCCTGTTGGGCCAGGCTTTTATTGCACTTCGGACGGTTTTCTACCTATCTAGCTATTGAGATCGAATTGGTAGTTCTCAACACCTGGAGCTGGGCTATCGCTTGATGCTTTGAGGGAGAAGTGGCACAGAGCTGGATGCAGAGTGATTCTCACTCTGGCTATGAGCAGATTTATTTTGATGGGAAGAACGTGAGGAAAATGGCCTGTTACAAGTTACTCTCTGAAAGCAGGCTTTCTCATCTAGCTCTGTAAGTAGCTTGGCTTTATTTCTGTAGCTGGATTTGTGTTGGAAGACCCTGGGTCTGTGGGCACACAATAGTCTAACTCGAAAGAATCCAAAGCAGAATGGGAAATTTGTGTCCTACTTGCTCCAGGCATTGCAGGTATAATGGTTTTTTGTGTTGTTCTTCTTGGACAAATGTCCACTTCAGCTATTTTTGCACATATTTGTAAAATTTCTTCCAAGCTGTATGTGCTTTGGTTCCATAGGAAACAGTCATGCGACTGTAAATCTCAGAAGTTGGAAAGAGCTAGTCTGAAGGTAATGATCCCTTTTAGAACAATTTAACTTGCCACTGGAGGCAATAAAAAATGAAAGTACGTGCCTCTGGCTCTGACACTTAGAAAGCTGATTGAGTCAGAGGGTTCCTGGACAGACAGTAGCAGTATTGCCCTCATTTCTTGGGAGTCATCCACCAATCGCTGTGATAGTGTTGTATTCCAGGATTCAAGCAGACCTCAGGTCTGTCAGCTCTCGTTCGTACGGACCTGTTTCCCCACGGCCCGAACGCGAACAGGAGGATGGAATTAATTATCTCCTGGATCCCACTAGGATTTATGTTTTGTGTTCTTCATTCTCACCTGGACTCTTTTGATAACTTAGTCAGAAATGCTTTTCAAGCTATTTGTTGGAATGCCAACAGCAACAGTGGTATGTTCCACTGGGAACGCTGTCCACTGGGCTGTTGGAACAGGTTTTGGAATTGGTTGGCAAAGCGCTTAGGTTAAAAATAACCAGTACAAGTTGCTTGTCCTTCTGCTGGTGTGACAGATATGTTCATAAAGCTTTTCTGATGTTAGCATCACCGTTGTTAGGTACCCATCATCTACCTTCATAACTCTGAGTTTCTCAGCTTAAAGGTAGCCAAAAGCTTAAAATAGTACTTTGTTTATATACCCTTTCCCTAGTGACTTTTCTTTCTCTTTGATAATGACAGTGGTGTTGGTTTGGAATTTTTTTTGGAAGTCAGAGCAAGCTGGCTTTTTTTAGATTGCAAGATTTCAGTGCAGGGTGTGTTTCTCTGTGTGTGTTTATATAGTTTCAAAAATAGTATGGCCTTGATCCTAATTGAGGATGTATGGGTAATGCTTTGTCCAAGAATTGCAGCATGCAATCCTTTTCTCTCTCCTTCCTTCAACACGTTCTTACTCTAAAGTGGGAAGTTTCTCTAGTTTCAGGGTAGAATGCACTACTTCTTAGGGCCATATATTCTTGAGATTAGTTTTTATTGTTCTTATTTTGAGGTTCTTTGCTTGATCTATTTGCTTTTCTTCCTCTTTTTTTTTTTTTTTTTTTTTTCCTTAATGACAGTATTCCATTGGTTTCCCTGACATCCGTGTTTAAAAGAGAGAACAAGCTTTCAAAATGTCTGTGATAAAATAGAATAATACAAACTTTTCTGAAGATGCATTTATGTATCTTTTCTCTCTTGTTGTGGATTCTGTTGCATTCATACAAGAAAATTTGAATTCAAATATGTGACTTGTTACTTGCTCTGGAGAAAGCTGAATGAAGTGTACAATACAAAAGTAAAGCTGTGTGTATAGAAAAGTAAATGATTTTATCTTCTGTTTTAGCCTGTTACTAAATTAGCAGTGGCTGGCAGAACATACTTTTGAAATGGGATTTAAGCTGCCAAAAGTTTAAGGTTCAGATGAGAGAACTTTTGGGTGATATTAATCAGGAGAACATAAATTGAGCTCAGTGAAATCAACTTGGAATTTGTGAACCCTAAACAGGAAAGAACCAGATGTTAAGTTTTTACTCAGTCCTACTACTCTGCAAATATAAGTGCATAAATACAGGATAGTAAAAGGCACATACATAAGGCTGTTCCTTAATATCAAAATGTCTTTCTAAAAGCATGACAAGATTATTTTTCCTAGTTTGCAGATACGAAACAGAAATGTAGAAATTCAATTTGGAAAATAAGAGAATGGATCAGAGCTACCCTTAAGGGATCATAGGACATCTTGGGTTAGAAGGGACCTTAGGGATCATCTGCTTCCAACTCTCCTGTTGTTAGCAGGGCTGGCACAAGATCAGGCTGCCTGAGGCCCCATCCAACCTGGCCTTGAATGGGATGCAGTAGGGTGCATCAATAATCAGAGATGAGAAGGGAAAACTTGGGAAGAGGACCATCAAAGCATTGGTTACAACTATGTGTTCCAGCTGGTTGTGCTACTGGAGAGAAACAGAAGAAAGAACAGGTTTTTTGGTTTTTTCTTTTTTAATGATCCTTCTTACACTATTTTTTGTAAAGATGGTTTGGGGTGTTTTTATGTGGTGCATATATTAGTATTTCTTTAAATCATTAATTTCTGTTGAAGTGGTTGCTGTGCATTTGGATTTCTATAAGACTTCCTGAAGAAGGAGCATGTCTTTTTCTGAACAATTTTTTCTTTGTTGCTGATACAGCATGAGACATCAAAATGAACACCTGAGGCAGAGCTTGTAGCAGGTTATGCTCACTGTTCAGCAGGAGCATCCAAGTATAGAAGCAGCTTGTTTCATCTAGTAATTCTAAACCATGCCTTGGAAGAGGTTGGTGCTGTATTTATGTGCTAAATGAGAACGGACGTGCTGAATTTGAAATTGTCCACGCTCAGATTTTGAAGGAATTTGGGTGGTATTTGCAGCAGCAAATGCAGTCATCTTAGTGCAAATGGAGAAATGTCAAAGCGAATATTTGAAATGTTCAGCATTTGAGTGAAGTGTTTCAGTGATCTTCTTTTGGTAGATCAGATAATGCTACAGTCACAAAAATGCTGTGTTTACATAACTGCTTTTATGAAAAATTCTGTCACTTTTTAACTGAATGTTGCAAACCACAGTCTAGAATATTAGCTACAGCTCAAATTAGATTACAGATTTAAAAAGGTCCTCCCTATGTATCTGTTGTCTTGAGCTTTCAGAATGTGGCTAATGAAAATGGGGGTATGGTACCCTAATATCTTACGATTTTTCTCCCTTAAAACTCATTGAAGTAACTTGTACACCTAACCAAGATACATAGTAGTTTCTGAAAACCTTCTTACAGACAGTTCCACAACGTTTTAACACTGAGATTTTTCCTGTAAATTTCCCTTTAGTGATAGATCTTCTCCTTTTAAGATGTGATTTTCATGTCTCTCAATTGCTTTTTTTTTTTTTTTTTTTTTTTTTTTTGTCCTTAAAGCTTTTCTCTTAGGTTCTATTTAAGACAAACTGCCAGTGTTTCATGGGGATATCCTCATACAGTGTTATAGTTTGCTTAGCAGTTAGGAACCTTTTCATCTGCACGATGGCATTATTCTTACAGACTGTGGAGATTGAATGTGCCAGTAGGAACATGGTGAAATCTGGGAAACAGTGCCCATTGCAGCTATCTTCTTGCCTAGCATTAGTTCCTGGGTTCCAGTAAGTGATCTCAGCAAAAGTCAGGACATGGAGCCAGGATGGAAAACAAATGCCTCTCTCAGGATGCCATGGCTTCCAGCTCCTCTCTCTACGCTGTCCCTGCCTGCATGCTGCTCAAAATCTGCACGTGTGCTATCTTTGGATCCAGTGCCATAAATTGCTAACCCAATCTGTAGTAGTCCAGCAAAACCAGATGGAACAAGTCATTTGTAACTGCATAGGATTCATATAATTTTGAATAAAAAAAAAAAAAAAAAGATCTGGGAATACTAATTAGTAACTGTTTGTTCTCTGCCTTCTCTCCCCCACACATTGCCTTTGGTTTCCTCCCCATCTTGCCATTTCTTCATCGATTTCTGTGTTAGTCACCTGCCTCTCCTTTTCTTATATCGGACAAACCAATAATTATAGAATAATTCTTTTAGCTGGGAGCCAGCTGCTCAATAGGAGAAGGTGACTGTCACAGCAGTTTATCAAGTGCATTACACACATCTGCACTGTACATTATTCTGTGTTGGCAGTGAGTTTTATTATGACGTTTAGGAAGGTGGAAATAATGATAAGTATAATCCATAATAACATTGGTAAGTTTGTGTCTTGTAGATTTGATACATAAACCAAAAGATTTATAAGATTATAAATGTGCATTGCATTGTGTTATGTGTATGGGTGTTTTTGATACATAGTCTTCTGCTTTTTCGATGGCAGTGACTGCATAGAGCATGTTGCGTATCTGACAGTTTCTTTGATTTTGGCCTTTGCTTTCTATAGGGATTCATTTGGGGTGAAATTTTACTAACATTTTAGATGAGTGGCACAAGAGCTATCTGGGGTACTATTGCCTCTAAGCCTCAGGCTGCTCTGTGCTTAACCTCATTCTCCTGGATGAGAACTAACATTTTTACATTCTTATACAAAGAAAAATTCCTTAATAAGCTCTGATATTTTTGTATATTAGTCCTTTTCACTTTATACCAATGTTCTTGCTCTTTATTTCCCCCACCTTTCTCCAAAAGGTGGAATTCCACTTCATCTGGAATTTATCTGAAATGCCAGCCATCTTGGCTTTGGTGTGCTTACAGAAGCGATGCCATCAGTTGCAGGATGGCATTGAGCAATATGCCTGCCCCTGTCTCACAGTCTTCTTCTAGTCAAAGTGTTTGGTTGGAGCATCACCCCTGGCATGCATAGGCAGACTGAGCAGTTCCGTGCTGTGTTAGGTTTGCTGTGTTGTGTGCTGGCTGGCTGTCCTGTACCTTCATAGTAACACTCATGCTGTTCCTTAGAAACATTTGATTTTTCTGTGTGCATAGCGTATGCTTGTTCTGTGTCATTCCTGTGGCAGAGCAAAAGGAGATTAGAGGCTCCTATGTCTCATGGCCTGTTACTGCCATCAGGATAGTCTGTATAGTTCACCCCATGCTCTTACATTTGGAGAGTTTAGCCTAGAATGCTGGGGGAGAAATGGGTAAACTTTGGTTACAGACTGTCTGCAGGCTGTAGTGTGTGTAACTTCTGAGTTTCAGAGTTACTCAGCAGGCTCATCTATTTCAATAGAAATGATAAGCTGTTCAGAATTATCAATGTAAGCAGTGAGAGAAATGCATTTTCCCGAGGCGTCTAGTGACATCGTCAACTCATTCCTCAGCTCATTTCTCATTTATCCTTTGAAGCTATGGAAAATGTTTTAATAAGCTTTGCAGTGTCCTAATATAGTTGCTAAGAGCTGTAACATATTTAACCAGTAGATTTAAAAATAAAGTACATACATTTTATGTCTGTTAAGTCTGGCAACGTAGCTTCAAACAAGCAACCTCCTATTTTATAGTGCACAGGATGCAGACATCCCTCCCCCCTCCTTCCCCCTCCCCCCCCACACACACAGTGAACTTAAATGAGTCAGACTGTAGTCACTTCTGCTTCTTGTCTCATTTAAGGGATGAGTGTATACAAGAACAGTGTTAATAGACAGTTTTCTACTGGTATGCTTAATTTTGTTGTTTTCATTCTCAGGATGTGATCTTCATGGTGAACTGGTGTGAGAACTGAGTTGTAAATCACCCCAATGGATGCAGACAGTGATGTTGCATTGGACATTTTAATCACAAATGTAGTGTGTGTTTTTAGAACAAGATGTCATTTAAACTTGAGAAAGATTGCATTAGAGGGAGCAAATGTGATATACAAGCGTGATGTTGGGGTAAGAGATTTAATGTAACACAGTTATGTTTTTATGTATATGTTCCTTAAGCTAAAACTTCATGTATCTGATATCCACGTATGATGGATAGAGAAATTTTATTTCTGTAGTTATGCAGAATGCTTAACAAGTCATATAAAATGCTAAGCCTGTTTATTAAGATATCTGATGAGACCTCCTATGCATTCGGATCTAGTTTGTCTCCTCCAAATTCGATTTTCTTTTCTCAGAAAATTTATCCTGATAAGGAATTAGCAGTGTGATAGTTGAGATAATAATAACAAATAATAATAATAATAATAATAATAATAATAATAATGGTGCTGTGGCTTTCAGCTTTTTTTTTTTTTTTTAAGGGGAGAGTAACTTTCAATCTGTTGTGTTAAAATTGAACGACTAATTCAGTGCATGTTTATTTAGCTGTTCTCAGGAGCTTATTTTGTAATTGCTGAAAGAGATTAAAGGAACGGTTCAAGACTTATAAAGAATAAAGAAAATATTATTAGTGTAATTTTTTTTTCCTTAGTATGAAATTGAACTAATTCCCAGTGCTTCGCTTTCATTTTCCTTTTCAGAAAGTATTAATGAAACTTAGAAAGCCTAGGATTACAGCCACAATTTGGTCCTCAGGAAAAGTTATTTGCACAGGAGCCACAAGGTGAGTTCATGAAAATCTTTTCTGTGGATGAAATTGATGTGTATTTTAAAACATAATGTTACAGATGAGGAAGTTAGCAAGAGGCAGTGCTTGCTACTGTTAATATTCACTCACATTGTATCACATTCTTGCCAACTAAGCATTTGGGAGGAATTTATCTATGCAGTGTCTGCTTTGGACCAAATTGAAATCTTAAGAAACTTCATTTCAGCCTTCTGGAAGAACAGTTGGAAAAACTACTTTATGAAAAAAAAAATCCTAGTGATTTCTCTTGAAAACTCTTTAAGAGAGAGATATATATATATATATATATATATATATATATATATATATATTGTTGTTGTTGTTGTTGTTGTTGTTTTAAGCCAGAACTTGAAATCTAGAAAGGGATGATGTTTTTTAAGGAATGTCTCTTTTATTATTACATGAAAACCTACCTGAATTTAACTAGGTTATATACTACTGAGGGACTGGAAAGAAGCAAGAGCAAATTTAATTCAGATACAGGAACTCACTGAACCCATTAAGGCTCATTAGGCTAAGTTCCTCTTGAAATGTGTCCACACTGTGGATAAGATACAATGATAAATCTGTATGCTTTTTGTGTGTTCTTCATCTCAAAATGGAGAATGTTTGGTCAGTACTAACATTCAAATAATAGAGTTGTTTTGTTTTTTTTTTTTCCTTTCACCCTGCACGCCATGTAACTGTATGGTGAGCTTTTCTCTTAAACTTTATGTTGTGCTTTCTACTAGTAGGAATGTTAAGCACTGCATTCTTTTCTATACCTCCAGGCAAGTTAACACACCCATTGTAAAGGAGAGTGGAATGAAAAGTAACCACCAAGTCAGGATGGCCAAATTCAGGCTGCTTGTGGTCATATTTGTCTCTTAGGAGCATTTATGTTTGATCAAAGTATGACTTCCACTGCAGCTCCTACTGACTCGAACTGAGCGGTGAAATAGAATTCTTTATACCATATTTGAAGACTGAATATCTAGACAGTGAAAATGGAATTTGATACATACAGCTGGATGAAATAAACAGCTGTCCACATGATCACACTTCATGCTTGCATAATGGTTTATTTTATACTCTGATTATGTACTTAGTATGTGTGAACATAAATATATACTCTATTAATGCTAGATTGTCTGCTTTACAGTGAAGAAGAAGCTAAATTTGGTGCCAGACGATTAGCTCGTTGTCTACAGAAACTAGGTTTTCAGGTAATTCTAATGAAAATGGAATTGTGTGACTTAAGCAATGCTGGTAAACACTGTTTTTGGAAAAAAAAAAATAATAATATGAGGGAACTTAACAATTCGGCAACCAGCATGTTTTCACTCAGATGCCCCTTTTGTTACAGAATACGTTTTCCAGATGCTATCAAAGAGAATCTGTCTTACTTAGTGGATTTGAGTTTCATTTGGCAGCTTAGAATTGTGCTTTTTCTCTGGCTAATGAACAGTATTTGTTAAATGAACCACCCACAATTGTTTCTTGAATCTTACGATGTATTTTTCTATTCATTTGGAAGAAGTGCTGAAATGTATAAACCAAGCTGTCATTTGAAGACTATTTCCTTCATTTATGGTGGAATAGCAAATGCATGTCTATCTTGTTTAGGGCACATTTTAGCCCTGTTAATTGCAGTGGAGGGAAATGCTGCTGTGTTGAGATTGCACAGCTGAAACTAAGTCAAATGAAAAAGTCAGGGCATGAAGCTCCTCTTTTCTATTTGGATTACAGTTACTAGTCAAAAATACTACTTCAACTGCGTTGTAAGGGTTATGAATGACTCAGAGTATGAAAATGTATTTTAAAACTTCCTGATAGCCAGTTGTGCTGTTTATCCACAATCTGTGTTTACCGACAGGCTATCCCATTCAGGCTGTATTCAACCCAAGCAGAAGTTAGGCAATTTTATTGCTAATGTATACATTAGAACCAGGCTCTAAAAGCTAGAGCGGAACATTGGATTATTGGGAGATGAACGGTGCCTCCGGTGTAGGTGCACAAAGTTTTATAATAAAGTGAGTGGTTTAAGTGGAATGTACTTTAAGGTTTGGAGTAATAGTTGACTTTTTTATAAGGTTTTTTGCTTCCACTCATACTTCTTAAAAGTTTTGACTGAGGAATGATCACTTTCTGTTTAATTTGTTTCAAATACACTGAAATATTCTCCAGTGATCTTACTAATACTGACTATTGATCAGTGCACTTGTTTAGGTATTGTCTGTTGGCTACTTTAATGTAGAATAGCCATGAATGGAGAATTACAATGTCAGTGGTCTGTGGTAGGCTGCAGAATGTCAAAGACTGTAAAGAAGAGGTTGCCAGAGTGGAGACTTGAAATGAAGAAATTTTTGTCTTTTCTTATTCCTACCTTTAATAAAATCGTTTATAGCAATGAAACACTAAAGACACTTTTCCATATTGCAAAGAATTCTTGTAACAATGAAACTTTTTTTTTTTTTGCTTACTTTGATGTCTCATGAATTATTTTGGTTTGCTTTCAAATTTGATGTGTTTAGGATAGCGATGAGTTGTTCCTGCATCTCATTCTTAAAGTAAATTGATCTAAAACCACATAGTAGAACTGTGAAATACCTAATTCAACAACTACTATACTATAGAAGGATAAAGTAAATGATTTGAATCCATTAAGTACTCTTTAAACTCTTATCAGAAATGCATTAATCACATTGATCAAAATACTATTAACTAGTATTCTTATAGTACTCGTTTAAGATTTTTTGCAATGCATACATCTCTGCTTCTCTATGAATTGAATTTTTAATGACTCTTTCCTTTCTTTTTAAAAAGGTAATTTTCACAGATTTTAAAGTTGTGAATGTTTTAGCAGTGTGCAACATGCCCTTTGAGATCAGATTGCCAGAATTTACGAAGAATAACAGACCTCATGCTAGGTACAGTAGGATTTTAAAAAGTAACAGTGCTTGTGTACCTCTTAAGCTTTTCATTTTGAGTTTTGACCTCTTATTTTGTTTTCTAGTTATGAACCAGAACTTCATCCTGCTGTGTGCTACAGAATAAAAACTCTCAGAGCTACCTTACAGATTTTTTCAACTGGCAGTATCACAGTTACAGGTATTTTGATGCCATAAATATTTAGCTTGTTGGGAATATTTAACTTCAGGGACAGTTAGTTAGGAAAAGATGATGGTCAAAATAGTCAAAAGATATGTTGAGTAGATGGAGTGGATTTTGTTTCCCAGTGCTTTCATCTAAATTGTTTCAGAGCTAAATTCCAGAGGACTTACATAGAAAATGTTATGATTGATAGGCTTAAAAATTACCTTGAGTGGACAAGGTCTGAGGGCTTCATTTGTTTGTATTTTTTTTTTTTTTTAATTATTTTTTTTTTATTTTATTTATTTTTTTTTAATCTTCATAATACTGTAAGCTACACTGAAGCATGTATTCTGAACTGGTTGAACTAGAAATTAGATTTAAGATAAATTGGAAGCTTGAGCTTCCCTGAAGTCTTAGAAGACTCGGCATCACATCATCTTCTTAATGAGATTTAGCCTTTCTGTAAGTTTGTGTCTCAGTGCTGCTTCCTGAAGGCTGTCTCTTGAGCTTGTGTTTGTACAGTAGCAGACAACTTAGAGAAGGGTGCAGCATCTGTCTAGAATGTGGAGAATATTATAGGCTTTCACCTAAGCTTAAGTGAACATTTAAGTCAGTTTGAAAACAAGAATAATCCTGGTCCTCTCCATTTTCTTCCTAACTTAGCACGTGAGTTAAAACAGTATTTCCCAAATTATATAAATAAGATGTAGCCAGTTATTTGTGATTTTGGGGAGCCATTTTGAATAGTTCTTGAGATTAACTTCTGAAATCCAGAAGGAGAGTAAAAAGAAATTGTGTTCTTAGGCATTGAATCACTTGAGAAATAGCTGATTTCATTTATCATACATCACCAAACTTCTATCCAGGATGAATTTCTTTTGGCATGTACATTGCTTGTTCATTTATGACCTCAATTGTTTGTTGTGGAAAAGAATCTAGTTCCATTAAAAAGCACTGGTAGTTTGTTTTCTTTCCTCAAATGTTGATAAATCAGATACCCTACAGCTGCTTCATCCTGAGATAATAATCACTCTCTGGCTTGCAGATGTCCTGAGATGAATGTTTGGAGCTATTTGCAAAATCAAGATTGAAAAGTTTTCAAAGATAAATTTGCTTGAAACATACTTAAATTAAATGCAGCATTATTTAGCATTAATTTTTGTTAGTGGCTATTTAAAAAAAGAATTAAGTGTAGCTAGCTCATACAAATCTGGGTAGTGCAAATTCCTAGAAGAGTAGTGTAAGTAAAATTATTTCCTTTATTTCTGACACTCAGCTGCTACAATCTTCCCTGGGCTGACTGATTAAGAAATATGAAACTTGTAAGGAAATCAATAGTGTTTATTTGTACTCTAGCCATTGGCCAGGGTGGAACATCTTACAGCATCCACATTAGAGTCTTTCTCTTGTAAGTAGAAGTGATGGGAGATTCTTAATTTGGGAGAAATTATTCTTGTTTACAAACTAAAGTTATGGTAGCTAAAATTGTTAAAGACAGTTGCTTTAATTCATGATGGTCTGATTTATTTCTCTTCCTATTGCTTTTTTTTTTTTTTTTTTTCCTTTTTTTAATATATCTCAGGGCCAAACGTAAAGGCTGTCGCCAGTGCTGTGGAGCAGATTTACCCCTTCGTGTTTGAAAGCAGAAAATAAGTTTTATAACTCACCACTTGATGGTTAGGTTCCCTAACCAAGCACCTTTAAAGACTGCTGCACATTGGACTAAAAGCAAAAAGGAAAACTGGACCAACTATAGTAGAGGAATACAGAACTTTTTTCTTGTTCATGGCCACAGTATAAACTCCAGTCCTTTTGGATTTTACTCTTAACAGTGCTGTATTGTAAAAACAGAAGTTTACAAGATATGAAATTGCTGCTTTTAAAAAGACATTCTATTTATTTTTGCAGTAATTTCTGTGTATTCATAAGCAAAGCTGTCACGATGTGCACTACCTTAAAAACTTTTTTTTTTAGTTTGAGCTTGTGTTTTATTTGTGAATAGTCTTTTACATTTTTGTATGCTGAATATTGGGCACCAAAGAAGCTGTAAAAGTTATCTTTTTCACCTGATGAATGTGCACAAATAAAAGTTTGGAAAATATTTCTCTTCATACCTGTTCTGTTATATTCCTTTCCTTTTTCTATTACATTAAAATTGTATAGTTGCAAATTAATTTGAAACAATGTAAGATAGTCTTTTGCTGATAGCTTCTGTTTCTATTTGTAGTATGTGTAAAATTTTGTGTGTGGGTTAGATCAAAATCTATAGTAGTTACATATGTTTATCTGAGGATGAAATTTGGTTTGTTCCCAGTTCGCTTAACTACATGCCAGATCAAGTATTTTCTTGCTGTTAAAAGACGACATTTCTAAATAATTGAAGTCTACAACTGGTGTTTTGCTGTAGATGTTGAGGAAATCTTACAACTAAAGAAGCTACCATAGAAAAATCAACCACCTTGTTCACTTACTGGATACAAAAGGAAACAAAAGTTACCATGTGAGCTTCAGTGTTCTGGAAAGCATTGTTACCCTTGGACTCAAGGAGACTAATCCAGTCCCTGCCTATTGCTTGATGACAAACATAGGCCTTTCCTACACTCAAGTTACTGTATAATATTTTCATGACAGGAGGCTGCCAACAAGCAATGAAGCTTGATTCTGGCATGTATTATTATAGGTATGAATCTTGGACATGGAAGCCAGTAGATGTTTCAATAAGTGCACATTTGAAACAAAAGAGAGGTGAATGCTTAAAAGAAACTGCAAATGCTACTTTTAAAAAATTAAAATAAATATGTATAAATGTATGTATGTCTTTTTTCCCTGAATGAAGACATTTAACACTACAGCTTGTGCTGCAAATAATATGTGATCGTGTGGGTCCTGCAAACTGAACAACTAACTGTTATTATACTAGCAGACACCTTGTGTTGTGGAAGGAAACCGGCAGAATATCCTGGAAAAGTAAATGCCTGGTATAATGCATACTGTCTGTCTGAGGGGTGGTATAGAAGTTGGGTATCTGCTGTGTCTCCATGCAGAAATTATGGGAAGAGTTGTTTATGAAGTGCTCAGTCATACCCTTCAGAACAACAGTGATATACTCATAAAAGCCTTTTTTAGATCAGTGAAGGTAACAAAGCAAAGTATTTGTGACTATGAAATACTAAGTAGAGTTCCACAGTCACAGAACTCTTGTTAAAATATATGCAAAGGAATGCTTGCTATGTGTGACCTCTCCAGTTAGTACAGAAGACAGCATGAACCGCAGAACTCCTGACAGTATTTTTGTGTAACATCACAGCAGTGATCAAACTACCATTAGGGAACACTGAACTTGTATTAGTATAATTTTAAAAAAGGCATTTGAACAATTAACAAAATGGTATGAGGTTTTCAGTAACAGAACATATTGCTATACTGATGTATGAGAATTTGGCCGCTGTACCTACAGTAGGTGAGGCTCTTTCAGATCAAATCTTGAAACACTTGAATGATACCAGTGAAATTCTGGGGCTTTTATGAGGCACGTATGTCTCCTAAATTTATATATGATGAAAGAAAACTTTTTCTAATTAACATCATGGTGTAGTAAGAAATCCACCTCTTGTAGGAAGAAAGAGGTGTTATAGCCTACAATGTATGTCCAGCTGGGCTGGTTAGCTCAGTTTGTTAGTGTGTCAGTGGGTTTGAGCTCTTCATGGGCCGTATGTGATTTCCTGTAGCTAGGACACAGCAATACTGGGTACAGGGACAGACTGGGAGAGGAGTGGCTAGAAAGCAGATCAGCAGGAAGGGACCTGAGGGTGCTGATGACAGCAGGCTCAACATGAGTTAACAACCAAGACGACAGTCTGTGTTTTGGGTACATTAAACAGCATAGCCAGATAGTTAAAAGAGATTCTCTTGCTATGTTTAGCACTGTTGTGGCCTCATCTTTAATATTCTGTTCAGCTCTGGACTGTACAATATAGAAGTGATGTTAAGGTCCTCAAAATCATTCAGAGGAGAGCAGCAAAGCAGGACATGCCTCCCAGACCTGTCACCTATGAGGGTAGGCAGGTAGTACTTGAGTTGTCCAGTCTAGAGAAGAGGAGGCTCAGAGGCAACCTCTCCTTGCCTTCTAAAGCTCCCTGTGGATGGTAAATGGACAGGGAGGTGCTTGATGCCCCACACCTGCCAGTGTTCAACGTGCATTTGGATAATGCCCTTGGTCACTTTAGCTTTTGGTTAGTCCTGAAGTGGTCAAGCAGCTGGAGGATATGATTTTTGTAGGTATCTTTCAACTGAGGGACCTATTCTAAAATAGGAATAGTTTCTTATAATGTGTTTCTTAGATTCATGCTAAATTAGCTGTAGTGCTGATTTAGTTTTGTTTGAGACCGTAAAAACAATCAGTAAGTGAGCCAAAAAGCACCCTACCAAACCTGCAGACAGGGTAGCACTAAGAAAGAGAATGATAGTAAATAAAAGATTTCTTGAAATATATATTTCTATCTCCAAGGGAGACTCAGTCGGTTTGTAACGAAAACATCCTAAAACCACAGATGATGAAGTTGGTGGTGTACACTCATCTTCAGGGATATCACTGTGTTCTCAGTCAGTACTGGGAAACTGCAGGTCCCAGCTGTGAGTTGCTGATGCTGTTTATTTCTGTACATACAGACACAATGCCTCTCCTTACATTTAGATTAAACCTGTCAGTCAATCAGTTCTTCCTCAATAGCCTTGGTTTCCATAGTTCTACCTGTTTTCTCCTAGATTCTCCATTCGGATCACACACAGATCTCTGCACAGTGCTCAGCTGTAGCACTAGCAGTACCATAAGAAGTCTATTTCACATTCCTTTGAGAGAACAGCCAGTTCTATTTATACAACCTACTAAGGACTCGTTTTTGCAGCAGAATGAGAACTGACTCATTGCTAGCTTTTGAGTTGCCATGGCCACTAGATCTTTAACTGCATGTTCTGATCCCCATTTTCTCATTCACTGACTTGTAGTTAGACAGCATAACCAGAGAAATTGGCATTTACCCTTCTGCAATTACACTGTTGGTTTTTTTTTTTTTTTTGTAGCCTTCTCAGAACTTTCCTAAGCTCTGAGTTCTAACACAGTCCCTCTCACTTTAACACTGCCTGCAAATTTAATAAGCACATTTGTTCTGTAATCCACTCTGTTAATCAAGTCAGTGAATAATTCCAGATCTTCAGAAACTTTTTGGGTAGGCCTTCAGAGGGATGTCATGCATAAGATGCCTCTTTTTGCCCTGTTGTAATGCTATAATGAGATGGAAAGTATCACAGTAACAGCAGGGTGGCAAAGTCTTTAGCTTCTGCAAATGAGAACAGGCCCAGGCACAACAAATGCAGAAATTAAGGAAAAGAGCTCCCTACCTTTAAAAGGCCTCAGATAGGCAGGGATCTCCAGCAGACAATGCTCTCACCTCCGCTGCCTACCCTTAAATGAGGTCTGGGAAGGAGTAGATCCTGGCTTCGCCCCTTCCAGTCACTGAGGTGCATTGCATTTACCTGAGCTCCTCTGGGTTGGCCCTGCCTTCCCACCAGGTGCTCAGACAGCTTTAGGCTGTGACTTAAGATTTCTGCTACACCTGTATTTTAATAGTTAGTTGGAAGTTGTAACTCTTAATTCTGTGTCATCAGATGTGCAGGCTTTGTTATAAAAGAGAGGCATAATTATGGCTACATTTACTAGGCTATGTAAGTCTACATCACTACAATTAAGTGATTACAATTAAGACTAAAGCTGTGAGGAGTAAAAAAGCCCTTGACCTCGTAATACTACCTTTAGAGGTACCTGAAGCTGTTAGAGTCTGCAATTAAACAGCATTGGAACTATGCCTTCTTCAAAAATACTGTTGTTTTTTTTTTTTTTACTTATTTATTTCTGCACTAAGTGTTTGTGTGTGGGGAAAGCTCACAAAAGCTCACCATGAAGCCAAAATCTCTGTCTCTGAGAAGACAATTCCCATGGTATATTCCAAGTTAAATTTATTTTTGTGATAACACTTACAGAATTTGTTACAGCAGAAATTTATTTTGGAAGCTGTGATGCTTAGCAGGATTTTACAGAAGCTCATTGCACTCAGTGTGATGTAATAGAAATTAAAAGCCAACGTGGGCTTGGATCGCATGTGCAAAAGTATGTTCAGCTATCCAAAAGCAGTACCAACCAGAGCAAGTAATGCTATTGGAAGCACTGACAATCACCGTCAAATCACAGATGCAGGAATTTCCTGCTGTCACTAAAACTACATTTTATTCCTTGATTTAATCTCAGATGCTTGTTAGTATAGGAATGAATGTGATAAACCAGTAGCATATTTGAAAGACTACCCAGAATCGGCTGAAGGTGTCTTGCAAGGCTGTTTAGTACAATGCACATGAATGAAACGCAGCCACCAGCAGATGGAGAGGTTTCAGTAGACTTCAGTGCCGAGCAACATGGGAATTGCCAACACACGGAATTCAAAAGATGGTGAATCCAGTCAGGTGTGGGGTTTTTTTTTGTTTTTTGGGGGTTTTTTTTTGATGAGATGACTTGCCAAGTGTTTAGAACAGATGGTACAACTAGTAGGTTTTATTAAAAAAAAAATGCTAGTGTTGATGTAAAAAAAAAATGTTACAGTATTAGCAGAACTGTAGTAGCTCCTTACAGGTACTTGAGAACATCTCCTGAATCTTCTACTTTTTTCCTGGTGCTTAGTAGGCTTCACACACACTCATTAGACACTACACGGCACCAACAGTTTAACCAATATTTTAATATCTTTCCATTTCAGTAATAGAATGTTTTGTTGCTGTTTTTCTCCAGTAATAAGGCACTAATATTTGTCAAAACTATTCTTCACCATGGCTCCAACCCAGCTATCCTTGCATTGTGACTGAGCTTTCACACATTTTGCATCCTTTTTGTAACTATTTGAAGATGTTACAGGAATACACTTACCTCTGTCACTGCTGCAGTGTTGAGTAAACTGTTCCTGGTGCAGCCAGGAAAATGCAAGGAGACTCTTAGCTGCAGGGTCTCTTCCATGCAGTGGCAAAGATGTCTCTTCAAATAGCTTGTTATTTATTAGGACTGTAGTGCTCAGGCAAAATTCTGGGCAGGTCTTCATTTTTTTATTGGAAAATTCAAAGTAATGGAAACGAAACTCTTCCACATCTATGGGAAAGCTGGTAGTACATCTGGTCCAGAGTGGGATTGGAACTTGGGATGGAAATCCTGTACATTACTACCAGCTTGGCTAATCCTTTCTGCAATGTGAACCTGAAGTCCTTGTGCTTACTCCTTCTGGAGGAGGCTTCACCCTGAATCACCTCAAACTTAGGTGCACGGCCCCACTGTTTGTGTAGCCTTGTGTGTGCTTGGTCTCTTCTTGCTTCTTAAGGACTATGTCAGTAGTACTTATATGTACCCTTATCGGAAGATTTTACCTAATGTTTGATGTGTGTGCCTTAATCTGTATTTTGCTGAGCCTTATGTGCACTATTATATGCATTTCTGAAAGCAGATAGGTCTTACAACACTCATGAGGTGTGAGCACTGATGGCTCTCGGATCAGAACAGAAAAAATAAGGCAACTATAAGCCAGATTGCTCACCAATCACCTAGAAGTTTGGTGGAAAAGCTTCAGCAAGATTTTTGGTTGTTTTAGATGACATAGGATTTTCATAGTTAAAAATCCTGTGTTGTGATGACCACTTGCCTGATCTTTGTACAAAAAGTCCAACAAGATTTTGACGCTAGTTCCCTAAAAGCTTACAGTGTAAGAAAGTTGTGGCATAGATTTGACCAGTAGATAGCTAAAGTCCTGAGGTAGCTAAATTTCTAGTGACATTGGTAAATCATGGCCTTGGCGTCAATAGTTTCTTTTCAGGTTGAACACACACTAACTGTATGAATAGGTGTTCTCCTCTAGAATTACAAAATTAGTGTGTAAATGTGTGACAGTCTCAGAATCTGATCAGAACTGATTCAATCTGTCCAGGAGTAGAACTTCACCTTGGTCGTTAAGTTCCCTTAGTGCAGAACATGGTCAGGTGGTTTTAATGCTATGAGACAGTAAATAAAATGGGATCATGTGTGTAGTCCAAAGTAGTATCAGTATTCCAGCTGAGCATGTCAGTCTTGCTCCCTCTATTAAATGCTGAGAGAAATGCCACTATGTAGCTGCTGAGACAGTCAATATGCTTTTAAAGTGTTTGCAGGTTCTTGGGCCATTTACTTATCTGCTAATAAGTATTAATCTATTCATTATTCATTATTTTCCTAAGAGGTTCATTAACCTCTTAGGAAAAAATAGACTGAAGTTATTTCATGGGAGCCATACAGCTAACCCTTTTTTAAGGCTGGTTCAGTAATTTAGGATACATTTGGTGAGAAATGACAAAGAGTTGGAGTGACGTAAGTCTTTGGCAGTCTCCTCCTGTGAGACAGACTCTTCCTTCTCCTTGGCACCCGGTAGCTCCTTGCAGCTCTGAGCACTTGCTGAGTATAGATAACAAGGACTGTGCACAGCATTCTGGCTTCCATGCACCTCCTGTGTGTCAGAGTAACCTAGGGGAGGTGAGGGATTCTGGTTTGAAACAGATGGAGCCTGGTGTTCCAGTGAGTTACAAACTACAACAATCTTTAATGCTGGCCATAAACTACCACTGAAAGAAGGTCTACTAAGAAATAAGAGAGAGATTATCTTGTGTATAACAAAGAAACCATGTGTCCCATTGTAGTGTCAGTATTTTTTTCTCGGAGCCAGTCTTTTGGCAAAGGCTGCCTTGGTTGCCTCAGCTCTAGTAGAACTGTTCTTTCTCCCTGTTGGGTAGTTCCACCGGCACCAGCTTCTCCCTGCGCTGGCTCATCCAGCACAAGGGGGTCTTTATGTATTTACTGGAGAATAAAATAAAAATAATTTTTAAAAAGATAAATAAACAATAAAAAATTGCTATTGAGTGTCAGTAGGACACGTTGCACGAGAGGACTGCCCCCAATCACCACCACTACCCCTACAGGCTTTAAAAGGCCCATGCCCTGGGCCACTGCCAGAAGAGTGTGGGAGCTATGCTGTCTTTTAGTTTTGGGCTGGTAAAAAAGTAGGCACACATCCTCTTTGAACACGTTATGGGACTCTGCTTTTATGTATATATCTATATGCACATATATATATATATATTCAATAACTAAAAAGAACTGAAAAAGATGGGGAGATTATGAGCATCACACTGATAATAAAAATTGAGTCCACAGGGCCACTAGATTCAGTAAACACAAGCAAAAAGCCCCCATCTAATAAAGCTACCCAAACTTACATGGAGGCTTGAAGTACTGGAGAGAGGGTCATTGTCCTTCCCTTTTCCTAACTGCAAGCAAAGGCATACAGTCCAAGTGGGAGAGCAGGGCTCCCTCCTCCTCAAAAGGCCACTCAGCAAATGTGCTGGGGAGTCAGGCAGTTATTAGTGTTGTGTGTTGTGGAAACCACCATCCCTTCTGGGTCAGTCCTCCCACAACAACAGCAAAGCTTTGCTTTTTTACTTTGCCAGAGAGATTACCATGTGCAAGCTCAAGCCTTGAAAATACATGACTTTTCTAAAAAAATATCAGCTTGTATTCCCGTTTTGTTGGTACACATCTCTGGGAGGCTTTGTCTCTCTGGCACCATGGGGATGCAGTCATGCTTTGTACTTACTCTTTAGCCAGTTCCATGGATATTTGCTCCAACGAGCATCCTTTCGTCTCTGGTATAAACACAATAACAAAAGCCAGGGATGCTAGGCTCATTACTGTGTAAATGAAACACACCCAGGACAAGCCAATAAGCTCTATAAAGGAAAAAAAAGAATTCTTCAATTTTCAAATATTACTTTTTCTGCTGCAACCTTTCTATAGGATACAGCCCCAAACACAAAGGAGATGTTAGAAAACAGGCTGTTATTCTTGGCTTTTTCATTTGTGAAATGTTTTTGCTTTTTCAGTCTTGATGAGAAAAAAAAAAAAAAACAACTAAGCAACTCATATTGACCCATTTACCATAAACCCATCAATTTATTTTGTTTGCTGTCACTTTGGATAGAAACAGTGAGCAACCATTGTTGCTGTTTCATGCCAGGGCACTGGGGGTCACAAGCGCCTTGAAATTCCACCCATGTCTGGTTTTTTTGCAAATTCTTTCATGGAGCAATAAGAGCATTTTTCACACTGTGGCAGTTGTCTCAGTTAATCCCACCAGGCTGTCAGTTCCCAGCATTTCTGGGAGAGAAAAAGAGACCCAAAGATAATTCCTAATGGCGCCAGCTAAAAACTCAAAGTTTTTGTGTTTTTTGTTTTTTGTTTTGTTGTTTTGTTTTGTTTTGTTTTGAGTTTAAGGGGGCAGAGAGGACCTCAGGCTGAAGGAATGGACTCTGCCACTACTGTCATGTTGTTGGAAATCTCACCTCATACACTCTTCTGTATAGACAGGTCCTTAGTGTTCTTCCCTGTTAAAACTAGACCAGAATGCTGAGACACTTGTCAGTTGTATCACGAGCTAAAAATTGCAGCTGAAGCTTCTGTTCCAACTGCTGTCTTACACATCAGATACTTGCTGGCCATACTGACCTCCACATAAATTTGTCTGAAGACAGATTTTCCGATTCTGCCTTTCTACCCTAGACTAGGAACTTGTAATTGCATATAGTTATACTTTCAGAAATCCAAATCACATCCGCTAAACCAGTAAAGTTGCTGTGGATCTACGTTCACCATAACTGAGACCAAAGCAATGGCTATGTATGCATTAACAAGTAGTGCTTCATGGCAGAAAAGTTATTCCAGGTCAACTATTATTCAAGATGCACACCATCTGATTTCAGGAACATCTCCTTAGCTCTAGTGTGGTCCAAGATCTGAACACGTATTGGCAGATAGAGAGTATTCATGGTGCATTTTCCCATTTGGTTTTGTTGAAAAGCAGTTCAGGACTGCTCTGTGATGGAGACCAAAGTGTCACAAGTGTAGACAACTGGAAAAATTTCTTCTGAAGAAGCTAAAGTGCCAATACAGACACACTGAATTTAACCTGGCATATTTTGCCCTAGTTCTGGTAAAAGAGAACTTTTTCTCTCCCTCTCTCTCTCAGAAAATGCCAATGTGAAACTCATTTTAGTCATAGATTGCACTTAATTTAAATATTCAATTTAAAAATATATCTAACAGGATGAAATCACCTCAACTCTTTGTGGGTCTGATAACAGTTGCTTGCCTGCCTCTTCATCTGTTGCTGAGTTATGCAGAGTTAAAGTAAATTTGGAATCTCAGATCTCTCATATAGTTTGACTTTCAGCCCATATTTTCTTCAGAGAAAGGTTGTAAACCAAAATTTGCAATACTTCCTATGAAATTAAATTAGAAAAAAATATTTGCCAATCAATGAATTTCCAACTTGGAATTTAAGGCTTTCCCTTGATTATAAATTATACTGTGACAGTCTACTTTCTTGTATTAAAACATGAAACACTTTCACCTTCCAAAGACACCTTTTCCTGAATGAAATTTCCTTAAAGTCAGGATAATCCTGCAAAAAAAAGAGGTTGATTTCTATAGGATGTTCTCTCTCTCTTTTTTTTTTTTTTTCCTGAGGAAAACTATGTCTGATCCAAAAAGCTGTGATTTAATATAGAGCAGAACTTTCACTGACTTCAGAAGGAGCAGGGCTAAATCCTAAATATCATATATTTTCATCTTTCTAAGGAAATGGCTTTTTAAAAATGGTCTGTGGGAGACACAGAATTGCCACAGGCAGACTCAGAAAGGTACGAAGGAAACTAACATAGAGCACCCAAGAAAGTCTTTGAGTTTGTCTCCTGGGCACAGTGGGTGCAATTTCAGCAGTACTGTTTGCATAGTTGAGACTTCTGTTATGTCCATGAGGAGAATATCAGCGTGAGAGAACACAGAGAAATCTTACCAGTGACAGTCAAAAATGTCAAGGAAATGAGGAGGTTTATTCCCCAGTTCATGCTAGATGTCAAAGCCATGGCTCGTCCCCTGATCCCACCAGGGAAAATTTCACTCAGGACCAGCCAAGACACTGAAATGGAGAAAAAAAAAAAAAAAAGTAAAATATCTTTGAAAGGATGACTTGCTGTTACTTCAGATGGCTTCAGTTGGAGCCACCTGGCAGAATAAGGTAGTTTGGAGGATGCTTGGCATGCATGGGCCCAGCCCCACGAGGGCCCACCCTGAGAAACACCAGCGATGGGAACATTGTCACCTTCCAGACATTACCTGGGAAATAGGAAAGGCTGGAAAGTAAGTGAGCCCAGACAGCACATCTGCTCATGGAAGGGAACACTATAAACAATTCAGTCACATAATGCTGATGCAGCTGGGGCAGCAAACCAAAGTAATCCTAGGCTTCGGAGCAGCACTGGGTGTTTCTTCCACCTTATAAATCAGCCTACCATGCTGAGGGAAGTTCACTCTTCCAGCTCTCTGCTATGAATCAGTGAGATCGCTGAGGGATAAATTAAGGCAGACGTCCTGATTTTTGGCTCCTTCATATCACAGCATAATGTGAGTGACCTCAGTGCTTGTGTTTCTGGTCGATAAAAAATTAATTCAGTCATATAGAGCTGGCTGAATAGCAATCTTGGTGGCAAGAAAAAAAAAAAAACAACGACACCACATTTTTGCACCATTCCTCGTTACTAAAACAAGGATTAAAACAACCAACTCAACTTCTCTAGCTCATTAACAAGATGCGTTTTCTCAAAGTTGCTTTGTGGAGAAATCATACGCTAGCAGACAACCGGCAAAAGGGCAGAGAGGTACATGCAGACAAACTACATCCTCAGGCCCTTGGACATTACAGGTTGGTTCTTTGATACATGTTTTCTGCATGATAACAGATGGAGACACACACTTGGCAGAAAGTTATATTGAGAAACTTGACTTTCTGTGGCCAAGCATGTGTAATGCTGTGTTGTCCCTTTGGATGATTGCAGGGTTCTTCTGTGACTGTAGTGACAAGAGTATGAAAGGAAAAATGCTGTGGAGGAGACTATAAAAGACCAACTGAAAGGGAAAGAAACCTGAGCCTTAACTCAACAGAGTAGATTCCAGCAATCTCAAATTTAGATCTCTTTGTACCACTGTTTCAAATTCAGTAATAATTTTTGGAGCTGACTCAGATTTATTTAATTAGTTAGTTTTATGGAGAATTACAGAGAGAGCTTCTCTCTCATGCTATGTTCCTCTTAGCACAGTGGTGATATTAGCCCAGGTATTGGAGCAGCATTCAAGACCACGATGCATAAGAGCCTGATGCTGTTACAGAGACATGGGCATCATACAGAGAAAGCTGTAGAGAGACTTCTGTTTTCTGACTTGAATCACAGCAAATTCAATACAATCTGCTGAGAAAGCTAACTTTCATCTAAATAAATGGTTTAGTCTGAAGTTCTATGTGGTCTCTACAAATACGGAAGGGGAGGGGCAAGTAAAAAGAAACCTGGCATCTGAAGCAGGTATTCTTCACTGTCAGGCCAGCTGTCTGGCTCCTGAGAAAAGTCAAGCCTTAGCAATGCATAACAACCTTGCTGCTGTGCTTTGTGCTGCTTCAGCATCAGGGCTGCTGAAGCACAGATCGTTAGCCACAGTGATACAACACATCACTGCAGGAAGTGCCAGCCACAAAGCAACAGAGAGCAAGTAGGATGCAATACACTGTTTCTAGCAGTAGGTAACCAGCCTGTGGGCTTCATTACCATAGGATATTATTACAGCCAGAAGCTGATCAACACCGGAGAAATTGATTATACACCCAGACTAGCAAAGAAAATATTCATAGTGCAGGGTTAAAATAGATTCTGAAATAATTCAAATTCGTTTTCTGCAGGAGACAAGCCATCTCCAGATGACAGGGATAGGAATAAACCTTTTCCCTGAGTATTTTGCTCTGTTTTTGCTCATTCAAGGGCTTTCTTGCATTCAAGTACTTGACAGTGCCTCCTTGCAGAGGCCCTGAAGATGGACCACGTTCCATTTCTGCTAACGGGGCAAACCCTGAGCTGGGTGAGCATGAGGGGCTGCACTGTACCACAGCTGAAATGCTGCAGCAGCTCCAATACCATGCATTTTTGTAAGGATAGGTTGTCCCTTTCTGTCTTAATGTGATTCATCTATGGGGCTAAAACGTGATGTTTTCCTGTTAAGAAACCAAAATTCTTGAGCTTTTGCATCAGCTAGAGTAGTGCTTAGCCATTATCATTTCAACAATCTATTTTGTGCAGGCAGGCTTACTAGATCTGTTCTTCATGTCTGCTAATGGTAGCTGCTTCCTCTGGCATGCCTCTGACCTCCTCTTAACTGGCTAAGAGTGGAAAGGTTTATTTCCCCGAGAGAAATAACAACTGTAGAAATCTGAGACTTATTACATTCTGTTTATCCCCTTCCCCAAGCTGAGGCAGCGATAACGATCAATTCTTTGCTTTTAGCACCTCCCCGGGATTGTTTTTACTATTTGTACTGTTGCCAAAAAGCAGCAGCTGCTGTAGGTACAGAGGGATGTGGCTTTCTCCTGGGGAGCCGGGAACTAGGCTCTGCTTCCAGTCACAATGGCTGCTGCTACCGTGTGCATGCAGCCCTCAGAAATTTAACCTGCACGCTCCCATAGTCTCCACAGAGAGAACTGGCTTCTGTGCCCCCACCAACCTAAGCAGTTGCATTGTACAGGAGAAAACAGCCCTTGTTTGAAACCAGGGTCCAAAAAATATCCCCTCCCACCACCACCACCACCTCTCTGTCTTCTAGGGAATCCAGCATTACTGCAGAAAGACACTGCAGTAAGAACCACACTGCACACACACAACAGTTTTCAGTGACTGATTCAGCAGCCCAAGCTACTGTTGGTGGAATAGATGGAGAAAGAGCTGGTGCCTTCCAGTTCAGGTGGGATAAGAAGTGAGGCTCGGAGCCCAGCAGGAGTCTCTGTGCAAGAGGATTGGTTCACGCAGAGGCTGCATGTAGCACTCACCTCACTGACCTGTGAGGAAATTGTACAATTGAGTGACCTCTTACGGCAAAATCCGGAGAAGAAAAACCACCCACTGGTGGTTTGTGGATGTGGTTAATTCAATGAAAACATTGATCTGCATTAGAAGGATTTTAACTGTTCCAGTATCACAGAAACTCCAAGCACTGAAGTTCCTTACCCACATGGGAAGAGCAGAGGATGCAGGTACAACACAATCATTTGGCGGATTGGGACATTCATCTCTATACAAAGTACAAGAGACTGTAAAGGAATAATAATTATAATGATGGTGGTGGAAGATTTCAGCTACTCCTGTTCAGACTGCATGAACTGCAAGACGAGGTACATTGCTGGGCCTACATTTTATATGGCATAGATGATGCAAGTTACCTGATAATTAATGAGAAAATAAAAATGTATTGTGTTTTAAAGCTGAACAGATTGTTCAAGGTGTAACTGTCCCAAAGATGCTCTGTTTTACTGGCTGTAATATTTTAAAATCAAAATCAAAATTATTGTAGAAATGAAAAGAGCCTCTCACAATATTTTGTTTCAAATGGAGAACAGTATTAGAAAAAGCATGATTTCTGTAAGGAAATAACAGGGCTATTGGAGTGAGTGCTTTAGTGATGGTATGGAGAATGTTTGTTACCTGATTAGAGGCTTAAAAGAGAGATACAACTGAATAAAAGTGAAAGAAATATCTCAGCACAGTAAAACAACTGAATGAATAAAGATGTTAGAAATGCAGTAGTGCCTCCCATAAATGTCATATGCCTGACTTGGACGTGCTGTGTGCAGGTTTGGTGAGCTCAGAGCTATAAAGTGCCACATAGAAAGCTGTGGAATTGGCTCTGAACATGGCAATTAGACAGATGAGAACTCCAGCTTAGAAAACAGTGGAGGGAAATAGACCTGAAGCTTATAACATTGTGAATGCAAGCAGGAGAGAGGTTTACATTGCTTTTTAAAAGACACAAACCAGGAAAAGTTGAGTAAAGTCAGCAGGAACAGCTGTTAGGGGAGACAGGAGGATGTGTTTCTCCTGCCAATGCTTATATTAACAGCAAAACTGGCTTGCACAGGATGCTTCATATGCGAAAATTATTATTGAGTTAAAATGATGAAATGCTGTATATTTAAATAATATTTCCCTATATGTGTGGAAAAGGATCCATCAGGACTGTCAAACAACAGTAGAAATAAATCTCCAGCATTGTTCTCAAAGACCAGGGAAGACTTGCTGTGCATGTTGCAGGTGCCTTCTTTTTATATGTTCCCTCAGCATATGCTGCTGGCTGTAGCTGGAGATGGGTAATGGTTTGAGAAGCTCTTTTGTTTGAGCTGATGTAGAAAATATAATAAAATTTACCTTACGGCCATAAGTAAAGAGGTGTCTTGGACCCTTGTGTGATTTCTTCCTTATTCTATTTATATGGTAAGTAATAAACAATAATAACAATTTTTAAAAAATCTCAGACTTACTTCAGAGAAGAAGAAAAGTGAGAATATCTAAGCAATGCTGTGAGATTGAGATTACTCAACATTCAAGATGCATGAATGAAAAATGTCCTTGTTTTGTCCTCATCCCTGCCAGGAGGCAGAAGCAAATTGGAAACTGCTCAGCAGCTCTCATTAATCAAATATTAGATCCATTGCTATTCATTTGCTGCTTAGCGTTTTTTTTCCTTTCCTGTACCTGTATTCTGAGAGAACAAGCTCTATGTGGTGAAATTTAGAAGCAGCTGTTGGAATTGTTGAAAGAATTCAAGTTGCTGAGGTACAAACCCTAGAACGAGATTAAGGGGGTTTACAGCTTAGCAGGGAAGTAGCCAGAAGTACATAAGGCTCTGGAAGGAGTGTAGCAACCAGAGGTCCAAGTGAAGAGGAGGAAGGGATTATCCTACCAGCAATGCAGGCAGACCCTCTAAGAACATGTAATAAATTAATAAAATTAAGCAAGAATGCAAGCAAGCAACTGTGGAGCTGCTATGAGAAGAAGGAATTCAAAGGACGTGTCTTTACCAAGACAACAAGTTTTTCCAGGCTCATGA